CCCCCCCTACGTTGACATGCATCACAAGTCCGAACATATTCCCTTACATCACTATACATTTGATTCCAATAATATCTTTCAGCAATCCTATGATAGGTTGCTTCAATTCCAAAGTGTCCCGCCAATGAGTCGGCATGTAAGTTGTGTAAAATAATTTCAACCTCATTTGATTTTACCACCCGTAGGGGTCTTTGAGGATTCTTCTTGTTCTTCTTATACAGAATTCCTTCTCTTATTATAAAATATTTTGCTTGACTCCTGATTTTCTTTTGTTCTTCATCCGTGGATGATTCTGGATAAATTAAATCCGATAAATATTTGACCAAGTTGTAATATAAATTTAAATCCATTTTGTGATTGCCTTCAACAATCCTTCACATATATTCCTTAAGAACAATATTTTGAGTTCCAATAAAGTTTTTCTCCGCTGAAAGTCCTAATGTTGTTCACAAGAACTATATATGAACTATTATTGAAACCTTCTCAAAAGAATTGTTCAATAAAAATTTTCTATTATTAAAAAGGTTAGAATAATAATGATAAAATAAAATATATAATATAAGATAATGATAAGTATAAAGTGTTAAAAGTGTAATGCACCCCAACCAGATCCGTGCACTACCGTCATGATCATCCACCAAGTCATCATGTCCGCACGAAAGTTAAATTACAATAAAATATAAAATAATAATAAAATATAACGTATAAAATATGAAATAATAAAATATAAAATAATAAAATATAAATATTAATATAATGTTTATGAATGTTCCACTATTCTAATACCAATATTCCGACTTGATCCTTGATATAGCATCTACATTTTGGTGTTTCTTTCCTGCTCTGTGCTCTACTTCAAAATTATAGGATTGTAAAGTCATAATCCATCAAGCAAGTTTTCCTTTAGGGTCTTTCATGTTGTTCAAGTACTTTAATGCTGCATGATCAGTGATCAATTTAAACTTTGATCCGCTTAGATATGTATGGAAATGTTTAATTGCCCATATAATGCCGAGGCATTCTAATTCAGTTGCAGCATAATTCTTTTCTGCAGCTCTCAACTGTCTACTCGCATAAGCGATTACTCTTTCATTTCCTTGTTTGTCTAATTGTGAAAGGATTGCTCCGACTGCAAAAGTTGATGCATCAGTTGCTAATATAAATGGTTTATCCCAATCTGGATATACTAAGATTGGCTCTGTTGTCAATTGTTGTCTTAGATCTTCAAAAGCTTGTTGATGTCTATTGGTCCAGTTAAATTCTTCCCCCTTCTTTAATAATTCCGTAAGAGGTGAAGCTCTCTTTGCAAATCCTTTGACAAACTTCCTGTAGTAATTACATAATCCTAAGAAGCTTCGTAC